TGGGGGGGGGGGGCTGAGTCACATGTGCATGCAGGGACGAAGTTGAGAGAGGTGGAGCCCCGCCCAACAGGACTGAAAATTAGAGGGTAAGTTGCTCCCAACCTCTGGCTCTGCAGCCAGGTACCTAAATCACTGAGCTATCCAGCCAGCATATTTTTAAAGGGGTCGCTAAAGTCCAGTATTGTAGCAGTGTACCATCTTGGAGGCTATGGTCCACTTCCCCAGATGCATGAGAAGTTCAGATGAAGCTTTTTAAAATAGTGCTGAATGAATTTAGTGTTATGGTGGCAGTAACTTTCACTATTTCAGTGGGACTTCCTTTCTATTTCATGTTGCCATAATATTGTGTCTGTGAGCTTCTCCAGATGTTTCACCACTGTGCCTTGTAAAATCTGAGTGGGCAGAGGGCAGTGTTCCCTCTAATTTTCTGCCAGCTTGTGTGGGGATCCCAGCCCATGCATGCAAGGTTCTGGCCATAACTGGAGCCAGATAGGTGGCAATACTGGCTGTGGGTGCACGGCACCGATGCAGTGTTGCATGACCATGTACTTACACAGCTTAGAGGAAATGTTGGCAGAGGATGATCCTGGGACCACATGCAGTTACTTAAATTGATTTTGACACTCCTATATGTCCTACTCCCATCTTTTTCTGGCAAGGAAAAGAAAAAAGAATTCTCACACCATGAAGTCTCCAAGAGCAGTAATTCACTGCTGTACTGAGTGGGGTGGAGAGGAAGATAGTAGGAAAACTGATACTTGCAATTTTGCTCTATTTAGCACCATAGGGGAACAAGAGAAAACAGAAGTGGCCACTACTTCTCTTGCTTGCAGAAGATCTAGCAAATGGCTGAGATAATGCTATTGAAGTAGCCCACTTCTAGTCAAAAGTTATGGAGTTAACATTTTAATTTGTTTTTCATTTTACCTATATTTCATTATACAGTATGTCCATAATTCCAAATTAGGCAACACTCTGATACCAATAAAGATATCACTTTATTCACTTCCTTTTTCCATGTCGGGCCTTGGAGGAGATTCTGCTTGGGATGGCAGTATGCAGGTGCCTTCTGTGTTCCAGTAATCCCTTACCCTCAGTGGTTTTTGGTCCTAGCATTGTTGTAGGCAAGGAAGGGAGAGGAAACAGCTAATTACAATTTGATCACCATTCTCCACAAATGACAATAAGACCTTCTTTAAAAGGAAAGTGCCAGTGTTAGGCATACTTTTAAAAAACATTTGCTTGGTGCAATATGTAGGTTTACCTTCAGTTTCACTGCAAGGTAAGAACTACTCTGTTCCCCTCCTTCGTAAGATTCTAGCTAGGGAGATTCTTTCTAACCATTCTGTAATTCCTTCTCTTTGCTTGCATGATTGGGTCACTTTAACAACTATACTTAGCATGATGTAGTCACAACCAGGATTATTAAGACCTAGAGGAGGGATACTTGTGCATGATTATTTGGGACCAAAGCTTACTTATCATAGGTAGTGAATTTGCACCTTTCAGAGTTTCTTCTCAGGAGGACCACTGTCACTTTTACATAGTAAAGCACCATGCTTTGGGCCACCCTTGGTGAAAATCTGACTTACAGTGAACCTGTAAGGGTTTTCAAGGCATGTGAGATATTTGAGGGGTGGTTTTACCAAGGCCTCTCCCCCCTATGATTTTCCATAGTGGGCAAGGATTTGAACCCTAGTGTCCTGATTCCTAGTGTATTACTCTATCCACTACACCACACTGGGAGATAATGTGTACCACAGGAGCAAGGAACTACACCATTCCTCTTGGCACTCTCGTTACAGTTCTCAGAAAGAATGTGGTTTATGGGAGGAGTTAAGTTTTTATACAGAGTTATGTAATTCATGCCATTGCACAATTTGCTCTATATTTGATTGACTGCTAGTTTATTTAATAATTTACAGAACTAGATGGATTGCTGGCATCTTTCTCAACACTCAGTCAGTTCTTCTAGGCTTGCTTTGTGCATTACAGAGATCTTGAAGATTAAAGAGAACTCTGGCTGAAATTCTCTTCTTAACATGTTGCAGCCAAAGCAGACCACTTTGATCAGTGGAATTTACAAAAGAGTTGACTCACCAACCCCGTTAATCCAATAGGCCTACTTTACTTGCAACTTACTAGGCCAAGCAACAGAATTTCAATCTCTGCATCACTCTTGACTGGAGGTAAGGAAGCTTGTGGAGTTCTGTAGACTGGAGGTTCTCATATTGTCGTGTCTTAAATTAACAAGCATTAGAAGTTTAGCAACTGTTTTCATTTGTGATACAGAATGATACCTGTGATGAATTTGTCTTCGGAAAATATCTCAATTTTTGTGTGTGTGTGTGTGTGTGTGAAACGTGAAGAAGGAGTAGGAGACATGGAATGTGGATTCAGAAGACAATTTAGGAGCGAAAAACCACTGTTGTTCATACATGTTTTTGGGGAGAGATGAAGTGGCATGAATGTGGATGGACTATGAGAAAGCTTTGGACAAAGTCCAGCTGACATTAAACAAAGGCGATTCAGGAGTGATTCTTCCAATTCTGAATCTGTACTGATCAAACAAACAGCTGCAGTTTTATGTACATAAACAGATGACAGAGCATCAAGATATGGAAGAAAGCTTGAGGGTGCATCTATTTGCCCTCCTCTTTCCAACTTTCAGTTAAGGCCAGTCTGTCCCTATGACATTCTGAGAACTAGTCCCTAAGTATGCTTGTTTTCCCTGTCCTTTCCCAGGCCATTTCCCCCTTTTGAGTTCTTTCAAAACAGTTGCTATTTTATTTTATTTAGTCATCTGACTGAACATTCCTATGCGTGAATCATTGGAAGCAAGCCCCTTGAGTTCCATCACACTTACTTCCAGGACAGTGCTGGTAGGATTGCAACATGAAGTACCATGATGGAAACCTCTCTGAGGTGAACAAGAAGTTGAAAATATGCGAAAGATTATGTAAGAGTATTTATACAGTCTAACACGTAAAAATGTTCAAAGTTAGTAACCCTCAGTCTTGTCCTAGAACAGGTTTTCAAGTGTGACGGATTAATCAGCTTATTCTTTGAGATGGGCATTGTGCTTTCATAGGAAAGTATTAATCATGTCTCCTTTAGAACAAGGATAAACATTGCTGCCATTTGGATAGGAGGTCCTATGACAACATGATGGATATGGTCCCAGTTGCCTCGCACTGTTGACCCTTTTAATTGGGCTTCTTCAATGTTTTATGCAATTGGGAAGAAATTCAATCAGCACTGGGAACTGCTGATTCCTATAAAAGAGTCATAGACTGATAAAGCTTATAATGTCACTTACAGTACCGCTGCACATTAGCTGAAATGCAGGAATCACAGTCTATCTGCTGTCTCTGGTTCTGCATGCTGAGTAGTGCAGCAGTAAATAATGAGGGCTTGATTATATAAAATACTCATTTCCCCATGGATGGACAGAATAAACAGCTCCATTAAAAACATAATCTTGTGCCAAGGCTAGCCTTGCTTCTGTGAAATGACTGGATCCTAAAACTGAAGAGATTTTTTATATTGTTGGAGTGGGCAAAAGAGATTAAGAGTGACTTGCCAATCTCCTTGCTGACCTGGGTCTGGCCTGGGAAAATTTTGCCCCCACCTGGATGAATTGGACTACAGCTCCCATAACCCTTTACCATTGGCAAGAGTGGCTGGGGCTTCTGGTACTTGAAGCCTAAAATTCTGAAGAGCCAAAGGTTTCCTGCCTTTGACCAAAGTGATTCGAGTATGGTCCCCACTAGAAAATGAATGCTGAGGATGGGACACAGAAAGCCTGATCTAAATCCAGTGTGGGGTGCTATTCACAATGAAATCACCTGTGAGGATTCAGAGAGAAATTAAAACATTGATGGTAAGATTAGATAAAAGTCATTTTTAAGAGCTTCAGCACCTGAAGGGGATGTGTTCTCTATCATCCCAGAGTGCAAAACATATAATAATGGACTCAACCTACAGGAAGCCAAATTTCAGTTGAATATCAGGAAAAACTTCCTAACTGTTAGAGCAGTATGATAATGGAACCAATGACCTGGGAGGTGGCGAGTGCTCCAACACTAGAGGCATTCAAGAAAAAATTCCAGCGTTGAGCAGGGGGTTGCTCAATTATAGGTTCTTCCAAGTCAGTCTATCATTCTGTTCTATGTTCCTATAGATACTTGGGGCTTTATTGGAAGACACCACATTTGAACAGCCATAGCTTCTTCAGTGAACACAGCAGATTAAAATATTGAATACTGGAATCTGGCTTGTCTCCTCCTGGAGTTTTATTTATTCTACAGCACTATGGAGGAGAAAAATCTATCCGTAGGGCAGCATGTGGCCCTTCAAAATCCTCTGCAGGCAACCAGTTCTAGCCTCTATTAAAAAAAAAACCTTGGTCTTTCTCCAACTGTCCAACCGTGGAGAGGAAGAGAGAAGGAGAGGGTGGA